CGACACGCGGACGCGCTCCTCCAGCGGAACACCATCTCCGCGGTAATACAAATGGCCACAGCCATGGCCCTCCAAAGACTCGCTAACTTCTCGGCAGGACAACCCGGGAATGAACATAGCGACGTACCTCGACGACTGGCTAGTGCCAGTCTCCAGATCAGGACGCTTGCCCTCCAAACCGACCCGGACACAGCCTCCTGGTACGCCCATAATGACGGGCGACCCCGAGCCCTTCTCATCCACCCTGACGAGTTCTCCCAATATGTCAACCGAGAGCTCCTTCCAGCTCTCCTCTTCGGAGGAGAACTGGGAAACGTCCAACCAAGCAGAACCGACCCTTTCCGAGTTGTCACTTGGAACGTACCACGTCCCGGAGAACATCCCACGCCTGTATCAAATCCAAGAAGGGTTCCGCGTACGGTCGTGGAGCGCCCTCCACCGAGACAACGAGAGGTTCCTACAGCGCATAGCCATACCGCGACTCCCCCCTCTCACCGGATACGAGGTTTTCCCTTATCCCAAGGAAATACCGACGAGGAGGAACCGCCCGTCTATCGAAGAAATGAGGGAAGGCGGAGTCGGGGAAACCAGGCAACCCTCGGACGCGGAACAACTGCTGGCCGGAGTATTCGACACCGGCCTGGATCGCCTCCTCCTAGTGCTCGATTTCGTACGAACGAAAGAGAGGATAACCGAAGTAGCCGCAGAACTCGCCGCGCTGATTCGGAGGCTCGAAGAAATAGCTCTTGGACTAGATCCGAGCTCGATGCATGGGATGCTCTAGACGATCCAGGAAATTACGACGACGCTGACCCCTACTACCGACCTGACGAAGGGGGCGGGGATTATCAAGGACCCTTCGATTATTAAACGGACTAATAACAGGGCATAGGAAGAAGAAAGGGGGTAAGGAAGTTGAGGAACTCCTTTTCCCCTGACACAAATTACATCCGAAACGATGTAAAACTACAGTCGTCCGCAACGACGTAAAACTAGGATCATCCCTCAAGACGTTAAACTGTACGACCTCGTCCGAAAGAGACGTTAAACTACCCCGCGTCCGGAATGACGTCTAAACTATCGGACCTGCATGTCTTAAAACTGTGAAAAGATAAGAAGGCAGGGGAAGTACCTGACCATTTTAGTCCTAGGTTCAAATGATGGTACGAATCAAGGACAACAGCGGGCATAATTCCACGTATAGCCTACGGCGGAACCTTTCACATCCTCGCTGTCAAGGAGTTAATCTGACAGATACAACGAGCGTCCCATTTGGATCCTCAGTTTTACAGGGTTTTTTCCGCATTAGGGAACCCTCTACATGACATATACTCTACTCGTAGGTGTCGACAAGCAGGCCCTTCGCCTTGGTACAGCGAAGTGCCCATACATAACCGGTTGCAAGTCCGAGTCAAGAAATTATGATGCATAACTCGTATCGTGAACCCTCACAGTCAAGGTCTGACTGGTGTTTTGGGACGTCCCACTTTGGATCTCCCGTTTTACAGGATCGTTTCCGCATTAGGGGATCCTACAGCTGGCGCATGAGATGATGTAGAGAGCGGGCCGCCTCTACCTCACAAGTCTTCCTAATGATGCAAGGCCACAAAATCACATCCGGAACGATGTAAAACTACCAAAGGCTTGGTCCGCAATGACTATAAACTACTAGGGTCCGCAATGACGTTAAACTAGTCTTCGTCCGAAATGACGGAAAACTACCCATCGTCCGAGATGACGTTAAACTACCATTGACCAAAGGAGCGTGGTTGCATTCTGGCGAAGCGCGGAAGGACTCGCGTCACAGAACCCTGCCTATAAAAGGTCGAAGCGCTTCCGATATTCACTCGCTTTTCGGTAAAAGAATATCGGGTCGTCTTGGTTCAAATCCAAGCGAGGGGTCTGGGGACATGGAAGAGCAAGCATCTCTTCATGGAGCGCTCAGTCTAGTCCTGGAGTCGAAGTACAAGAAATTCCGCTCCAAGACCTAGTCAGGAGGCAACTAGGACACGTGCCTCGAGTCGAAAATCTAGTGGGAAGGGACTAGGTCACGCGACTCTCATCTGGCCCACATAGCGGAAGAACGACAAGAGCGGGCCACTCAGCCGAAGTCTATTCCGCCGGTCGTCCGCAACGACGATAAACTACGAAGCGTCCGGGATGACGTTAAACTAAGCATTGTTTTTCCACAATATTTGTGGCGAAACAACGTCCGCGATGACGTTAAACTATTGTCCCTTTCCACATAGGGATTGTTCGAGGCCAATGGCATCGACGTCCGCAACGACGGTAATCTACGGGCATCCGGAATGATGTAAAACTACTGTCCCTTCAAGCATAGGGATCGTGCGTGGCGATCTTGACAAGATACCGCGCGTCCGCGACGACGTTAAACTAGTGCCCCTGGACCTAGGGGTTGTCATTGACGTCCAATCCCCTGGACACCAATGCGTCTGCAATGACGTTAAACTACTTGCTCCCGATCGCATGGGAGTTGTGATTCATCACTCTGGTGCTGAATCGTCCGCAATGACACAAAACTATTTGCTCCTTACCGCATAGGAGTTGTGGATTGACCGCCATGGTGTCAATCCGTCCGAGATGACGTTAAACTACTCGTCCCTTTTAATACAGGGATCATCGGTCGACACCATTCTTGACGAGAATGTGTCGACAATGTCCGAGACGACATTAAACTACCCTCATCCTCGGAGGAAAAGCCTATCGTGACTCGAGGGACATAGTCAGACGATAGCAACCGCCTATCGCACGGCGTTAAACTGCAAGCCGCCTAATGCACGGCGTTAAACTGCAGGTCCGCCTACCTCACGGCGTTAAACTGAGCGGTCTCATAACTTTGAGGCGTTACAAGTTATCCGGTTTGATATAGTATAAACCGTCCATCATGCCTCAGTGGAATCTGGAGCGGGTAAAGTCTGGTCTATGGCCCTATGCACATCACCGATGGAAATTCCGGCGTGCAGAAACATCTTTCCCCACAGATATTCCATGTTGATGATGAAGCACATCCGAAACGATGTAAAACTACTGACGTCCGCAAAGACGTTAAACTACGGATCGTCCGAAACGACGATAAACTACGGACCGTCCCGCATGACGTTTTAAACTGCCAGTCGTGGATATATCTCGCACCCCGACCAATATATCAGCTGTGGTCTTGATGTCTAATTCGTGCAAGCGAACGAGCAGACCCGGAAAAGGAGTCAGACTCCTCCTTATTCCTCGCTGCACCCTTCAAGTCTAATTCTCTTCACATCCTTGCCTCGAACCCAACACTACACGTGGTATTCCCCACCATAGGCCCACGTTTGTGAAAAACAAACTCTGGATGCCGTAAACTGCCTCACCGGAGATGAGTCCACCGTATGGGGACAATACTGCTTGGGATTTGGCTGCAACCTCACCGGAGATGAGCTCACCGTATGGGAGCGATACTGCTTGGGGCGTCATGACTGGTAGCCTGGAGAAGTAGGCCTAAGCCTTCGTAAAGCGATCAACCTACTTGTCCATGGGCGCCATCCACTGTCGTCAAGAGGAACAACAAATCATGAGGATAGACGACTATCCTGGAAACACTGAGGTTTGGCCCTCGGAGAAGGAAGAAGAAGAACCTGATGACACGAATTAGAACCCACACGCTCGAATTTCTACACATCCACACACCACTCGCATTCATACGCCTTTCTTGATGCTGTTCCAGAAGCGGGCTGGAAGTAAGACCGCGATGCAGTTTATCCGCGGCAAAATCAATCCCACGGGTGAAGGAAGAACATCCTAGAGAGCGGAGGCTTGGATACCCTCACGACTCGACAAACAAACAGCTCAACGGAGATGGAAAACTCCTAGAGGATCAAACGACGTAAGTCGGTCTTCCTCCCAGAAAACGAAGTCATGTCTCGGAAGTCGCATCCGGAGACCATCATTGGATCAAGAAAGCAAATCGTATATGGAGCGGCGATGACACGCAAGGCGTGGTCCTACCAGGCGAATAGGACGTAGAAAGGGGGTATTGTTATGATCACGTTCTATCGGGCCTACACGGCGGTCTATACCGATACGATCATCACAAATATCACGCGGCCTCACAGGTTGAGGCGTACACCAAGGTACAGATATTAACCTTGGTCATCCACTCCCAACGGATCACCTTATCGTTGGTCGAGTATCACGGGCCTATTGTATTAGCGGGCATGGAGCGCCGCCTTATAAATTACTCACACGCAGGGCATGAACCTCCTAGTCTCTCCTGGCCGGAAGGAGACCAACGGAGAAGCACAAGAGTAGTCGTTATTGAGAGAGACGACTTAGAGAATACCTACAGATACATATTCGGTATTCTCACGCCCTACTTCCCAAAGTAGTATAAAAGGCCCATAGAATAGGCTGACGATCTTCAGTCTATTCTCTTTGTTCTACTGCAGTCTTCCTACTGCAGTCTTCGTTCAGTACTGTCCTCCTACAGTACTCCTTCATCCTTAGACAGTCTTCATACTGTCTACTTTCATTGCTACATCGCAATACACTTCTAGCTCCTGTGCTACACGTACGGTCGAGACCACCGTTCCACACATCCTCCACGAGTGACCTAGGGAAGAACCTCCTACTCTTGGGGTTACCGACGAGCAGTCGTAACAGCTGGTGACAACCTGTGGGGCATGGACAGCAGCGACCCTGGAGTCCTCATGTCCTCGCCTGTGCACAAGAAAGGCAATTTAATCTGCAAGGGGCAGAAAAAGCGGCGGCAGACACTGGATCAAAGGCTCATCAATAGTGCTGAAAAGAGGGCATGGGCAATGCGAGAGGCACTCCAAGTGCTTGAAGACTATGGACTTACTTTCAGGGACTTAGCAGCCTTTGTTTCTGATCCAGCAGAGAAATCGCGAGGATGGCGGTGGATGAACTTCTTCTTGAAGCTGGCGCAAGTCTGCGGGCTGCTTGACTCTTGGATTTCCCCCAATAATTCACAGACGGCATGAAAGATGGTACAGGAATGGGTGACGAGGGCAGTGGCAGCATTGATCACAGAGGAGGCCAAATCTGTGACGAAGAGTGGGGTACTTTGCATCACAGATTGAGTATTCGATGCAAGCTTTGCACTAGGCCTCAACTTTGAGACCTTGGCGGACATAGTTGACCAGTACTGTCTGGTCACCATGCAAATGCTACAGAGCATCAATATGACACAGCGTCAGGAAAAGAAGATCCAAAAGAAGAGGCGAAAATACAAATGATTCGTAAGATTGCTGCTTGATATCATCACACAAATTTGAACCTAACGAAAGCTCTCTTGCCATACATAGCTTGCTGCAGTGGGCGCTGTTACCCTACTAGGAGAGCATAGTCAGAAAAACACATATATCCAACACATTTTGGGCCTTTACCTGTATTCGACTGGCGCCTCGCGCCAACAAATCACAGTCTTGAATCACCTGGGGCTGAGCATAAGCTATACAACACTCGCAGGTCGAGAACATAAACATGACCCTCAGGCTGCGGTATCAACAAGCACTACAGTACAGTCAACGGGAGCGACCTAGGCAGATGATCAAAGGGAACAATCACTTACCACGTCCATCTGACTCTCTCCAATACCCCGAGAGTCACGCCTCGGCACTTTGGAGCTTCTGTCTCAGAGCACGCATGACACGGCCTGACAAAAAGCTGCTGAAGGCCCTTTCATGGTTGTCTATAACAACATCAACTGGGTCCAGAAAGCGACATCACAGATAGTCGGTAGGATTGGTGAGTGTCTGTCTATTGCCCAAAACATCAGATTAGGTTCATGATACAGTGGTACAGACACACAAGAAAACGGGATGTGCGCAACGTTGATACCTCTATTGAACGCATCGAAAGAGGCACTCCAAGCGACCAACCTCGACAAATCCTTTGACAAAGCACCTCCCCTGTCACTTGATGACCTCATACTCCAACCCGATGACCACACCTTCTTCCAGACATGCTTAGTCCACACTGTACTTATGATCGTGATGCATCATAGTGGACACAACATGCAGCGCTTCCGGAAACCCCTTCAAGAGAGCCTTCCGACATCTCATCAGAAGATAGAACTACACAAGACTGATGTTTATCCCCTGCCAGCAATGAACATCAATGAGTCATTGACTGCTGGGAATGCAGAGGTGGTCGATGCCGTTTTGAAGGAACTGCGGCTTGATATGTCGATGCCAGAGTTCGCTGCAGAGCTCAAGCTTATTGCTAGTGATCAATTGTCACTTGCACGTCTTTGATCCATCGGTGTGTGTTGTGCGGGCAACAAAGCAGGTGCAGCGGTGCTTCAATGGGCGCTATTTGTACCCAGCCTCTTCCATTACAAGATGGCAGCAAGCCATGGGTTCATCACAACTCACCTCGGTCAACCCAACCACCTCCTCACCAACCCTGCATCCCTCGTCACTCACAACACGATCCTGGAGCACAAACCAATTGTGGCGACATTCCTGCCCCCATTCTGAACATGCCGGGATCTCATCTTTGTCTCCCTTTATGCCTGGGTCCTACATTGCATTCTCCTAGTTGTGGAGTCGACTTCACTGGATGAATACGCGGACGGCTTGACGTGGGAGACACTCCAGTCACATGCTGCGACCGTTGTTGACCGTTTCACTGATAATCGTACAGTTCATCACCTACGACAAGAATGCGCAGTTCACGGCTCTCACCGAGGCGACATGGTATTCGAAAATGCGATCCTGTTTCTACGCAATGCGCTGCATTTGAGGGAGTTCTCGGACACCATCAAGGCTGGCGATTCAGGGCGCGTCCTCAATATCCTCAAAATCTGGGGACTAGCTTTTCGGGGCAACAGCCAGTCAAAATACGCATATGAAATCCTCTATCTGGTGCACAACATCACACATGTCTGGCCGGCATCCCTCGTGTAAGTATTGCACATTATATATCATGATATAGCTAAAATCTCCACAGTAAGGTTGTGCTCAACAACTGGCTAGTGAATCCAACTGAGAAGCCTCAAGGTTGGCATGAGGTGGACTTATTGCAAGAGCACTTCAACTTCTGGATAAAGGTGAGTGACTGCACTTCTGTCAATGACAGCCCACTAATTGGTTGGTGAACGGGCCCCAACTAGGACTACTATCAGGCACATGGCAGCGCCGCTTCCTGGGAGTGGCTTAAAACTATTGCGCCTTGCATGGAAATATTACGCTGCCTGGCTACTAATGTCCATGATGTTTTAGGCTCCAAGCAAGGCAACCGCCACGCCGCGCCTGACCTAATGGATGACATCAACGAGTTGATGGGCAGTCTCTCTCATCACAGTGTGTACACGGAACAGCAGGGCCGGGCATTCAATGATGATGGCCCACCTGCTGCGGATGTGATTATTGATGGTTATATGTCACTTTCATAGGGAGCAGTAACTGCATTAAAGCAATTTAATTCAATGTTCACAACATTACAGCAACGGCGCCGAGTCAAACCATTAGTCGGTGCTATTGAATATTGTGAAGGCAACACAAGCCCTTCTGATGCCAGCATCATTTATAGCCACCTATTAACAGGTATGTTCATATTGCTCAAGAGTGTTATGCCGATGTAGTGGCTTTCTCTGACTGACAGCTTGGCAGACGCTGATGTGACCGCTGACGATAGTGATGGGCACAGTGATGCAAGTGTAGATAATTTTGACGAGGTGGATCTCAACAAGGGTGTTCGACCTGACCTGTATTTGACATCCTTGGAGGATGTAGCACTTGATATGGATGGCTATGCTGAGGAGGGGGATGATAACCTTGTGTTTGATGATTTTGAAGATGAATTTCCAGATAATAATCAATCAGATTCATATATAGAGACACAGTTAACCATATGAATGAAATGTTACACAGTCAGTTTAGACAGGAGAGGGAGAGAGGAAGGAGAAAGGCAAGGTATAGTAGTGGTGGCTGAAGATTGCACGAAATTCGGCTAAGTTGAACTCACATTTGGTGTGCCCCGCCAAAACCGCAACCAGTGAGCCCAGCCGGTCTCCCATGGAGCCCTTGACGGAGCATAGCAGAACAGTGGAATTTGAAAGACCAGCTGTGTCTGAGCCTATCCCAAGCCCTCTCCATTGGCGGCTGGCACAAAACATATACAAACACACACCACTTGGAAGATTCACCGGCGTCAGCCACAGAAGACTGGCCGCACGCGGGATTTAGAGCAGCAAGAGGAAGTATACATGGCAATCAAACAATAAGAATACATTCAGTGGCAAGAAGAAATATACTCATGCCCGCGAAAGGTGTTTGAACAGGTGACTGTGACATAACATGTCTCCTAGTTTCTAACTGTCTCCTGAGAGCAATTGTGAATGGATCGACAATTTGATAGTCTTTATGAAGAGCTAGGAATGTCTTTTATATAATACAGTAGTTAGAATCTTGTATGCCAGCCTTTTGCTGCCTGAACTTGTGCAACTCTCTCTGACATCTTCCTGGTATGTCTCTGAATACCCTCCTCTGTAATTTCTTCCCATGCATGCTGTGCTGCTAACCATAAGTTCTCGAGAGAATTACTGGCACCTGGGGTATCAGCAACACAGTTTTTGAGCAGCAGCCATAATGGCTCGATAGGGTTAAGATCGGGCGAAGATGGAGGATGTGTTAGGGGTGTGATGCCCAGTTTCAACCGAGCAGATTTTGTGAGGTGGCTTGTGTGGGCTGGTGCTCCATCTTCGACAACAAGCATGAGACGTATCTGCTGCTGCTCCATCCTGTTGAAAAAATCCTTTAGAGGCCCTTCAAGAACCTGTGCAACATACTCTTTTGTACCCAAGCCTCCACCTCGTCTTCGGCCCTTCTCACTCATGGTTGCAGGCAGGAATTCCAGCTTGATCAGCTGATCTTTCACACCATGTGCAATATACCCCCATACCATGATGGATTTGCGACTACTCTTGAAGGTTGGCTATATGTTCTCGGGAAGAAATTCTTCACCTGGTAATCTCGTCACTCTCTTGTGCCCTGGCCTCTCTCCTAACTCCAACTTTGCCTCATCAGTCCAGATAACCTCATTCCAATCCCTTGTCATATTCTCCTTTGCCCAAATGAGACGTTTCCAGACAGCTGCTGGTGATAGGAAGGGCTTGTGACGTGCAACTCGGCAATGATAGCCAGCAGAAGTTGCTATGGTGCGAACTTGTTGGGATGTTACATGTTCAACATGCTCAGATATAATGGGATAAGGGTCCAGACGGTGTGTACAGATCTTATGAAGGACCCTGCGCTGTGTGCGGCCATCAATGATATGTGGCTGGCTAGATCGAGGGAGACTGTGTCGGGTATGGAATTGGTTCTCACGAGTGACAGTATCATGGCATGCCCCAACAGAAGCACCAGTCAAGGAAGCAATTTTTTGATATGAGTATCCAAGATCATGCAAAGCAAGGATTTGACCTCTTTTTGAGGGTGTAAACTCAGTGGTTCCAGCAGGAGGCATGAATTTCTTAAGACTACTAAGGCTCGGCAACTCATATAGAAGCTTCACGTGATGGTGTTCAAACATTTTTTGCGGGCACGAGTACATGAGTCAGTAATGTAGAAGATAAACCATGAAAAGCCAAAACAAGAGCATGCTGCAGAGCCATGTAGAGCACAGAGCACAAGAGATTGAAGCAGAGCACGAGAAAACAGTATAACCCCCTAGGATTGAACAGCAAGGATGACCGTCTAAGACCTCCCCTTGCCCTTGGAAGTTGACATAGTGCCAGCATTCATCTTGGCCTTGCGTGCTTTTGAGGTGTGGCTACTATCATTATCATACTGAGCATGCGCGGCCGTGCGCTTGTGCAATTGCGGCACTATGTTGTCATGGTTGTCATGGTTGTTATGGTTGTGGTTGTCGTGCTTGTGCTCATCGTCCTCCTCAACAAGACATCTGGGCTTGCATGAGTGATGGGCAATACTGCCGGTGTTATTGTTAGCAGCGTCAGAGTCGTCGTCCATGAGGGTCTTGCACTTGCGCGATTGGTGTGCAGTGCCGTCTTCCCCATCGTGCATGGAACTCTTGGACAAGCTGCCACAGGGCCTACCATCCAGGTACATGTCTTTGTTTTCATCCTTGTCTTCGTCCAGGATGCGCAACAACATGTGCCAGTTACTTTGACCATGACGAGAGGACTGGGTGCTTTGACCATGACGAGAGGACTGGGTGGCAAGTTGTCTGAGAGGCGGCGGACTTGATGAGCCGGTCATCATTGTGTGGTCTGTGTCGTCGGCGCCGGGGGCATTCATGCGAGAAGCCATTGTTGTGAGCATGTTCAGGGCCGCTCTTGTCAGGTTGCTAGCTTCAAGTGCCAGGCCCAACAAAGGTGTAGCAGAAATTTGTACGCCGGTGTCCAGACTGGTGGCCTGTGCTGTAAAGTATGTAGCACATCAGTAGCATGTGGATATGTAATGGAACCTGAATACCAGATTTTTCTTCTTCTATTGCACGGTATTTGCAGTGCAATGTGTGCAGGTCTTCCTATTTGCTGTTGGACCCATCTGTGTCGCTTTCACCTCCTGAATTGGGTATTGCACATCCTGATTCATCCCCAAAGACTGTCCTGCAAAGAATTTTGTTAGTGCAAGCAACCCAAAGAGCAAGATGGAAGATACTTGTTCCACCATGCAAGGGTGTCCTTTGTTCACTTATCAGCTTGGTACCTTTCAAAAAGCTCCACAATCCGCCTGTAAAAGATTGGATAGTTGAATGTGCCATCGTCCGGGCTCCACATCTCAATGGAGCTGATAGTGAAGCATGCCTGCAGACTCAATGTTAGCTCTTGCAAGAACCTGTAGACACCAGCTTATCTGGCAAGTGGCATATGCAATAGTCTGCAGTGTTACAATGTTAGTGCCATGCAGTTTCGCGTTGCCGCTCTTTGTACAAGCTATCTTCATCTAGAAAAACACCCCCTTGTATTAGCTCCGGATTATATCTAATAGTGTCTAAAAGTATCTAAAAGTGTTAATAGTATCTAAAAGTGTCCAATTTCCTAATTGGGAGCAACACATTGTGAGCATTGAATTGGTTTCTAATTTCATGATATTAGCACTAATTCTATACTAAGAAGTCTTTAATTATTAGTAGGAAATAGTAAGTACTACTGCTCTGTCAGTGAGAAGGTAAAGATGTGGCACATTCTATACTATTTCAGCATATTACTCTCCTTCATATATGCCTATACCATTATCTTGTAGCTCTTTTGCTGACTTTCCAGCTGCCTTTACAAGGGATATAGAAAGAGAGAAATGTGCATTGATGCCCCCAGCCACTTTGTTGGCAGCTTGGCAGCTGCCACAAGAGGCTATGAAGACCTAGGTACCTTGTCCTTGCACACAAGATCATTAAAGTTGTCATTGTTAGCCAATGCCTGCTACTGGTCATTATAGGACACAACATGTGGGTTGGACTTAGGGATATGCTACATGCAGCCTTATAGACCTTGTCTATTAGTATAGTGGCTAATACTGTCTTGTGCAGCACACAATCATCATCACTATTGATATTATAATTTTTAGCACTATTTATATTGTTTATTGCCTTGTTATATAGAAGATGCTCAAACTTGGTGTTTTCCTCTAGCTATTAGGCTGTGGAAAAGACAGTCATATTGGTATGTGGTGCCAGAATAATATATTTGCCTGCCATATAGAAAATATATGCATTAAGCATATTAAGATCACCTCCAACAATCTTGTGCTTATTTATATATAGGCATGCCATACATATACACTTGTCCCCACCCTCTACCTCACTAGTGGCTATTTGGAAAACCCCTCTCTTTTATTAGATCTTATTTATTCATAATCATATTCTTGATCAAATTTGCAAATTTAAGTAGCATTGTTTATACTAGTAGAGTCCCATTGAATATTATACTTGATCATAGTTTTACACATTCTCAGTCCAAATTGTATAACTGCCATAATTTATTTTTATCCTATATAAAGTGTATTATCGATTTCTCATTGGTTTATTATCTCCTTAGTAGTGTTTAAACTAAATCCTGAAAGACCTGACTTTTTAGGTATTTATTGACCTGTTTATTTATTAGATAGAGGAAAGATAAATGTTGAATAAAATTTGAGATGTTGAGGTTGCCTATATTATGTCTACTTATTTATATTACCAAGTTTATATATTAGACCTTGTGGCTTAGTGGCTTAGAGCATCTGTCTTGGGTGCTTGCATACATGAGGTTGTTGGTTCAACTCTGGCAGAAGGCAAGTTTGTTATAAGGTATATTCTGTGTTTAGGTATTTAACTAGTGCTCTAATAGACATGGCTTTATAAGAAGGCTATGAGAACTGTAATGCTTGATTTATTATGATTTTTTCGAGATTTCAAGTTATAATCAATCCTAATAATTCCTAATTTAGGAGAATTATGTCTAATTAGAACAGGTTTAGAAGGGGGGTAAGCTAAAAATGTCTAATCCTAATCATTCTTGATTATGCATAAATAGAACTAATTAGAGCTTAATACAAAGGGGTGGTTTTCCAGATGTTGCTGTTGGGGCCTAGCCTTGCTGCTGACGGGCCTATGTATATAGCGCACCATGCCTTTGCAAGGAGAGAAGATGTCAGCAATTTGAGAACGGGCCAGGTGGAGACTTACACAGATAAGGAGGTGACCGTGGAATAATCCCTTCTTGCGGTCGCTTGGGTTATACTGGTAGTCCTTGTATACAAAGGCGGGCCAATGCTTGACCAAGACCTTAATCTCATTGCTCTTGAGCTTGTTCTAGGTACTGCAGAGAAAGAGCAAGAGTGAGTTGCCATCAAGTGAGGCATTGACATCAGTACCTAGTTAAAAATTCGTCAAAGCTTGCAAGATACTTGTTGGGGCACAGAAGACACACAAGCATCAGATGTGAAAACCCACGATCACATTTGTTGGCCAGCACAAGTGCCAGTTTCAATGGCTGCATGACCAGATCAAGTGCCGCATACTCAGCAACAAACTTCTTCATGTGCGTCGTGTCCACTGTGCGAACATTGGAGCTGCTTTTGATCATCTGACTAGATGTGATAAGTGTGCATATATACGCCTGTATGCACTCACCATATCAAGCAATGCATGAAAACGGTCTTTATTACCTTCAGACTTGGCCTTAGCACATAAGCCAGGGACGAGGTTAAGGACCTGTTTGAAAATCTTGAGGTATGTCCTTTGATCCTTTTACCTATCTTATAAGTGAGAGACGGTCAGTGAAATTATTAACAATGTACTCACAGATGAAGATCATCAGTAAAGCATCCGGAATCATCATCACTGCCCGATATTTTGTCCAATCTTGCCTGGCACCTGTATTGTATGTGCATGCCGACATGAAAGACGTCATGGAGATCTTCATAGAGATCAATTCCACATGGGATCCAGCATGCAGCACTCTTGTAGACGTCTTGATTATCACACCTGTTGAGAATAGAGGGAGTTAGTTGACAAGAATAGAAGAAGATAAACTTACTTCAACGTGTCCTTCCTAGGCTTCTTGCCCTTGTGTTGTGCCATGCTTTTTGGTGTGCGGTGTGCATCTTCTGTGGCACGTTTTGATACCGCTCTCTCTAGGTTTGAGACATACCTTGAATGTTCCATGTCTGAGTCAGAATTGTTGGAGGGAGGGGGTCGATAAGGCATGGTGAGAGTGAGAGTGAAAGCAAAAGTGATGACCAAATGATCAAGTCGTGATGCATTGAGCAGTCACGTGATTGCGTCAGCAGACTTTTTGCAGAGTCGGACTTGTCTTGTTATTTTCACAGCTCAATGAGGCTTGCGCACCCTCGACGAGCATGAAAACCCTAATATCATTCTTGTTTTTCCTCCTTTTAATGGCTTTCCAATGCCTTGCGTGTCCCCGAAATTTCCACAACCAGCGCACTCTCAAGACACATCAATGGAACTGCAAAGGCTATCAAGAGATTCAAGATATTACCTTTCAGCAAAAGCGCGCTCGAGAGGAGGAGGCAGTGGAGGAGGCAAAGACACGGTCAAGGAAGAGAGCTCAGGTGTCGGTAGAACCTGAAGAGTTGACAGCAGAGGTGAGTGTCATCAACCTTCATGCGCACTTACTACATACTGAACAATCTTCACATTTTTTTGCATATCAGCACGACATTTTGGACTCAGTCCTCATCCCAGAATCTTCATCTTCAGAACTCCCACCCTCGCCTGAGCCTCCTATCACGCGCTCTGCATGATCTGGACATGGAATACAGTTTCCCAAGCGCTTCGACGACTTCCTGCCCGGCTCCACCACTCCCCTCTCTCACATCCCCTCAAAACAGCATCCCCTTCCTACCCAATCTGACACGGAGTCTGTACCACCACCTCCTGCTCCGCCTGAGCCGGTGCCGGTGCCGGTGCCAGTGCTGGACCCTGTCTTTGATACGAAACCCAACAAATTTGGGTTATTCTGTCGGTATAAGCGACGCCTGACGCACGATCCAGAACCCGAAAACTCACTGGACAAGGTCTGTGATTCAGCCGCATTCCTGAAGACAGATCCAGCACCTGCAGAGAAACCAGCACCAGCACAGTGTTGCCTTCATCCCTGAAGATTATCCCGCCATGTTCAGCTTCTTAGACCCTGAGCAAATCATCCGCGGTGTACACCTCATCCCTGCATTTGCACAGGAACACACCTCCGAGCGACTTGGGCCGTTGTCGCGGTGAGGAATGGTTTCACCCCTAGATATGATCGGGGTTTCCTGTTTTTCCGGATGTACCTAGTGTTCGTTTGATTGCTGCTCTAGATGATACCTTCTGGTATTGGCATGATACACAGATGTTGGTCACAGTTATAAGCAACGATGAGAATATCCTGAGCTATTTAGCGAATTTCTGAAGTGGTGCCGGACCACTAACAAAGACAATACTCCGTAAATGTTGAGAATAATGAGGAGAGGCTTAAGAACTTTGTGATTCAAGTTGCTGAGGTGCTACACAGATTGAAGGCGAGCTAATAGTTCATCTAGTATCCCTACAAGTCTTGCAGCTTATATCCAACTGATATCACTCAAAGAACTTATTGACTGGCACTGACTGACTGTGTAAAAGTAAGAGGGAGAGATGGTCTCTGCCTGAAGCAGGACAATCAGCCTCCTTATATACTATTTCAAGTAGGAATCTCCTTCCTAGTATATACAGGCTGAGTAGAGTCATTGTGAGTCACAAAGAATGCTGTAGAAATAAAAAGAATAGGGAAGAAAACAGAGGAACAGAAAGGAAAGTAAAAGAAAGGCTCAGAATGTGGTAGAATGTTCCTTCAGCTTTCTTCAGAACTGCTCAGAACCTTCCCCTCCTTTCAGCTTAGAATGGCCTAGACCTTGCCCCTTTCCTAAACTTTCTCCATCCTTCCACTAAAGTTCCTCTCTATTCTACCAGATTCCACTGCTATCTTTCCATTCCTTATTGTCTTGCCATGGTCTAGCCCTTTCTGAAATAGACCCTAGGCCCTGGAATCTGTCCCAAAAGTGAATTATAAGTATGAAAAGGGATAGGAAATCAAGCTGAAGTGGTAAAATACTCGAATAAATATGTAAAAAATCGGAATTAAATGTCCTTTCTCTTCTAGGTCATTTCCCTTCTCTTCCTTCTAGTCAGATATTCTGCCCTCCATTCCACCATCACTATTTGATGCCTAACAATGTACAAGCACGACACCATCTATCGCTTGACAGCCAGCAGAAAATGATGAAGATTGGGAGGGGTATTATATTAACATGTAAGTTTCACATCATTTCCTACTTATATCTCTCAATTCCTTCCAGGTTTGTGGACCGCGACATGTTCATGCGCTTCCGCGGTGGCGGCATCGGTCACAAGAGCACATGGCACCTTAATGCCAGCCTTCTCTGAGATGGGCAAGCTACACAAGTGCTGGAGGAGCCCTCCGACGAGGCAGTCAATGAGCAAGGCGGCGGCGCTGAGGACAACAATTCGGAAGAGGAATATAAAGAAGAGAAGGGAGAAGAAGGCCCTTTGATGGAAGAAGAGGAAGAGGACTCTGACGATGATCTCGACCCGTTGCCTAAAGGTGACGGAAGGGAGCGGGACGAGCGAGTGCTTGCGGAGGAGGGTTATGGCAAGTTTTGAGGCCGGTGTGTATGTATCGCATTATATCTTGAGGCTGGGTGTATGTATAACATTATATTCTGAGCCGGTGTGCATGTTTAACAATATATTTTGAGGCCGGTGTGCAAGTATAAGAATATATTATGAAGGCCAGGAATATATTATATTGGCATCGGGGCCTCCAGATTGCAATCTAATACAACAATTGCACCAAACCACCAAGGAGAGTGCAGCAAATGCAATGCCATATATGACCTTGCCTGCAGGCTCTTGAGATTATATAACCCCCCAATCCATCCAAGGCCATCCCACGTTTTGTCACTTTTGCTGATGCAAGAGACAAGCGTGCGCTCACAATTACGATGTTCCACCCAATTGATGTCATCCCTGTCAGTGTCATGTGCACCCGCCGAGCCTGGGGCTGACAAGACAATCAGCCATTTCAACTCAAAAGAAGGAGAGGAGAGAAGGGGTGTTTGTGTTCTGCACCTGAGGGCAGGAGGCAAGTGTCTATGCTACGTGCACAAATCAAGTTGGCACACTCCTCATGTTTGACAAAAAATGGGACGCCAATGTAAAACCTGTTTACAAGTGATCGTTATGGGCCACATGAATTCATGTTGAGACCTATTTAAGAAACATTGCAAGTGCCAACTTTCAACTTTGCTTACTCCTCCCTCTCGTCTGTTGCCTCTCAGTACCTTGTTTACCCTCGCTGCATCGAGCACACATGCCTTCCAGTGTGCCCACATACATGCTTCCAACAAGATCTGCAAAATCACAATATACCTCCGCAGTGCATTCCCACACATGCGACAACAGGACATCAGGCATGCACCGATCCTCAAGGTACAGCCCGATGCGGGCTGCATCTGCACAGAGCTCACATGCACAGAGCAAGCAGAAGTCTGCATCAAGTTTCTCTGCGACCTCCTGCTGTGCCCAAGAATGTGCAGTCACCGGTCCAGTCTTCGTGTTTGTAGAGCCCAGGGCCGCATTATGATGCGCGTCAACCTGTGCGACAAATTCTCATAGTGGCATACAAAGGGGCTCAGCAAGGTTGTCAATGACTCTTTCGCATGTGCACTTAAGTTCCATATTGATGCCCTGCAATGCATGACAAATAGCAGGTCAGCCAATAATCTCATACAGTAGAATTGCCACACTCACATGCTTAGCATCCAGGATATCTGCATCTCCTTTCAGCATACTGAGCAATGCGACGAGTGAATCAGGTGGCATCAACGTCATGCGCAAGACCATTGCCACAAGTGTGTCTGTCATACCGTAACTCCCCATCATAATACTGTGTCTGCTGACACTCGCCTCATCTCGGCTTGTCTCACCAAATGTGAGGTTTTGTGTCATCTCCTTGAGAATGAGGAGGTAGCGTACAAGGAACAGATGCGCATCCAGCGTAGCACCTGTGGCTCTGACATCTCAGCAGCAGCGCAAAGCAAATGTTGGCAAAGTGTAATGGCTTCTGGCACAAGATCATCAAGGATTGCAGGCTTTCATGGGTGCGTTGAATCGGGGTGCAGTACACACACATACATGAATGATATGATACATCCATAAGTATATAAGCAGAATGCGACGATGACAAGAGAGGTTGAAACTTTAAGACCTACCCAAACAAAGTCGTGCAGCTGTGCAAGCACGCGTGCCGTTGTATCGAGCATCAGGAACCACGTGTCGCGACGCTCGAAGCTGGCAAGTGAGGTTTGATTCTGAGCACCAAACAGCTGGTGCACGCTCTCGCGCTCTTTCTCCCGCAACCCCGTCATGGGCGTACACGTGGCTGACAACGTGAAAAAGGACATATCAGCCTCCTTTCTTGAGAATATAGATGGAAATAATGGAGGGAAGGGATTGCACCATGTTGATGGAACCCTCAGAGGAGAGAGATAGAGCCGCTTACCAACAATTTTATTGGGATATGCCAAGTCTTCTGTCTTGGGCACATAGTATCTGATCTTGCTCTGGATGACCGCCTGCGCTTTGAAAAACAGCCGTGTCTGTGCATCCTGAAGCAACTCCGGTCACGCTCGACTGGCTGGCGCTGTGTTGGCATATGACACTAGGAAGAGGCAGAGGTTTGTGGCGCCGTGCGAGGGAGTGGGACGGTGGCATCTGGCATCGTTGCCTGGGCACATCAAGCGGGAGCACCCATTTTGGTAGCGATAAAGACTCATAGTCTAGCAGTAGAGCAGACGAGATGGAAGAATCGGGATGGCTATTGGTAGGGAAAGGAATGATATTGGTGCTAGGTTCACAATGGGGGCGCTCACATGCGCTGGAGAGTGCAGCGGTGGGCGATGCCTTGCTATTCCAAGATAAGAGGCTGGACGGGAGGTCAGACGCATTGAGCAAAGCATTAGTGTCCTTGACAAGAGCGGATCGCGACGTGAAGAGTGACTTGCGGTAGTTGGCATGAATTAAGGATTGGAGGTGAAACATGGTTGCAGAAGATGTGTTGATGAATGTTTGTTGCGAGCGATGCGCGGCGTGGCTTGCCCCAACAAGAGAGAAGAAAAAACGATGGTGGTCCGATCTTCCGCGATATGCTTCTCCAACATGATCAGCTCAACGAGGGTATCCTCAAGGGTCCGCTTATTATTCGCCTACGACTCCCACTCCTTGTCAAACGTGCGCTTCGTCTCCGTCATCACCTCCCGAGATGCCGTCAGCTCCTGCTGGACGACGTGCAAGTTCTCCGACAGAGCGTTATAGTCAGACTACAACCCAAGTCAGCCATCGGCGCAAATGTCCAGCATCCAGCAAAACGTACCTCGTGCTTCGCGAGCTGCGACTCCGTGGATGACTTGCAGGCATCGTAGGTCGCATTCAACCCTGCTAGCACCACTTCAGTCGCCTGGCTGATCTCTTGGAACTGCTGCACATGGCCTTGCGCATTTGCCAGGTCGAGTTTGGCAACCTTCAATGCAGCGTGGCGTTCATGAGTCAGTTAGCACCATAAGCCTCGCATTGGATATTAAAGGGCACAAAACACACCGAAGTTCTGCCACCTCAGCCTTGAGGTGCTGCTCCTTGCACAGATGATCAGCGCCAGAGACCTCTGGCTGCGCGCCACCGTTCGCCAGAGCGCTAGTAGACCCACGCCGTTCGTACACGGTCAGCTTCTCCTCGTTGCCCTGGAGCTGGCATGAAAGCTCTGCGACGCATTCCTTGAGATACATTTTGCTCATTTGAGCGCCGATCAGCAACTCGCGGGTATGCAATAATTCCTGCGCCTACAATTTGGTGTGCACCGATGAGTGAGGACACAGGGAAATGGGACGGGAACCAAGTGATAGTGACATGCACCTGCTAATCGACGCGCGGCTGCAGTTCTTTGACCTCAATCTCTTTCTTCAGTGTCAGATGCCTAACACTATCATGTTCCTGGCTAAGTTGGCTCCTAAGATCCTGGCTGAAGCAACAAACTCAGACGGTAGTCGGCGCGGTCGAGTAAAACTTGGCGCTCACGTCTGATTCTCCAACATCTGGATTTGACTCTCCAGCCACCTTTTATCATTCTCGCCCGAGCACTCGAGATCCATATGTATCTTCTGCACGTTGCCCATCCGATCCGACAGACGTGACCACTCAATCAAAAGCACCTTGTTCTCTTCCAGTAAGCGGTTCTGCATGCCCTATTGACATAGATGCAGTCAGCATATGCATATACGCTCCCACCTCGACAGTTGATCAATGTCCATCCAATTAAGAAGAACACAGAGGAATAAACAGTAAAAGGCACAACGCACATCTCCCAAATCCACTTCTCCGTGTGCAAGTTTGCGCGCTCATTGAAAAGCTGCTCAACCTTTCCGTTCGCACTGATAACGTCTGCAATCCCGCGATCACACTCGATATCCGCTCGCGTGTACTTATCGTGCAGCTAGACACTCATATCCCGCAAGTCCTCCGCCTGGTTTGTGTACTTCTCCAGCGTTATCTTGTGACACTCTACAGTGACCATGTATGAATAAAACGATGAGCATGGTCGATGACACACACACGGATGAGACGCAACGCTGATGCGCTTGCGATGGCTCTGCGTGCGAAAACACAACACAAAACACACCACTAAACACAGGGTAGGCGGGGAGCTGACTTTACTACAAATATCGAGGGACCCTTTGTAAGTTGCGAGATGGGGCGTGATATACGTACTACAAGATATCGAGTTTATCTGGCGAGGTGATGCAAGGTCACGCGACAATACTCTTGTGTGAGATGGGGGACCGTGGGTTAAGGCGCGAGTGACCGAGTCAACTTCAAGGGCAGCGACGAAGGCCCTGACAATAGCGGCGATGAAGGCGACGAGTGCCAAATCGAGCGAGTACGATGTCGGTGCGATGCGATATGAGCGAGATCCTCGTGCAAAGTTGAGCTCTAAACAGAGGGGTGTTCGAAACTGGTGTATTGCAGTGTCGTAGGCAGGTATTTATAGTAAGTTGAAGTGAGTATAGTAAACGCGAACTCGTAAGGTAAAGTAAATTGATATCGCGCCAAGACCATAACATAGAAAGATAAAGAGAAGACCACGCGCAGAGGTGCTCGCAGACCGCGAGGTTCTGTCGTGCCACAGTCGCGAGACAAAGCGATATTTAGTAAAGAGGTGTAGCGGTGAGACGAGGTAAACTCTAGGAAGGTGGAGGGGCAATGGATCACGGGACCTGTACTACCCAATAAGCGCACACGATAAAGCTCTCTGCGATATCGCGTCGCGGAGCTGCTCGCGGTGCGGTCCGTGCGGTCGATGCTTGCGAGGCGTATGGCGAGAGCTTGGCAAGGTCTTTGCGGGTGCAGCAGGCTCGAGGTCATCATGCGATACGCGTGGGGGCTGAGTGAGATGATGCGAGGCGATGACTGAGGGATGTGAGACAAGACCGCATCGGCCCGATACCGTAATGCTGAGGTCGTAGTGGGCATCGGAGGGAATCACTCTGGGTGGCGGGGCCACCCAGCGGTCTCTGGGGTATCTCCTGAGGTCAGCATGCTAGTGCTCGTAGAACTGCGAAAAACGGGGTCCCGGCGCTTAGAGATGTGGCGCGCTCATCAACGCACCCGCCGTGTACTCGATCTTTGCGTTAGCCTTGGAAAACAACACCCTGAGCTGCCCGTTTTCCCACTGCAACTTCACGAGCTTGTTGCGCACCCGCACGCTGTCGACCCCCATCTGCATCTTATACGTATCGAACTAGCTCTAGATCTTTGCCAGCTCCGACTCTGGTACGACCTCCTACAGCTCCGACGCGACGCTCTTTGCTGCACCACTCACGCCCCCGCTCCCAGTCCAGCTCCCAGTTCCGTTGACATATGGTTCTGCACTGGCGCCGCCCCCAGTGCGCACAAGCATGCTCTTCAAGGTGTCGTGCTCCTTTGTGTACGCCTGCACTGCCACCTTGTGGCTCATGCGCTGGCTCTCCAGCCGCCGCTGCAGCTTGCGGATCACCGTCGACATAGGCGAAGATACGGCGTGTGAGGCAGCAGAGGCAGCGGGAGCGGCAGCAGGGAGGGGTGACCGGGACGGGAGCGTGCATGGATGCCAGGGAAGTGTTGAGCGAGGTGAGTGGAGTGAGCGGGGACGCAAACGGTGGGGGCGATGTCTGATCAGGGAGGAGGGGCAGGTGTGGGGGTAGAGGGGGTGTTTGCCGCAGGGGCAGTGGGTTGTGAAGGCTGGGGAGAGTGGGTAGGGTGGAGGGGTGCGGGAGGGCGGGTGGCAGGGCTGGGTGCACTGATGAATGGCGCAGGCGAAGGGTCTAAAAACACAGCCTCCTCCTCACCATCTCCACACACCACAACGCATGCCTCCTTCTCTCCCTCCCCACACGCAAGCCGCTTCTCCACTTTCCTGCACCAGCACTGCGCCGCCTTGGTCACCGCACACAGCAGACACACGCCGGGATGGCACAGCTCTGCACAGATATGGTTCCCACATGCGAGCCGCTTTTCACAAGCGCAGCTGCAGGAGAGGTCTGCGCGCGCGGCATCGGCGGTCAAGGACAGGTGCACAGGGGCGGGAGATGTGTGGGAGTGCCAGAGGGAGACCATCTGCTTGCCACAGCGGCATGGGCGCTGCGTCGTCACCTGACAGGGCGGGCACAGGCCTGGGTAGCATGCGAGCGCTCAGGGGCACCCGCACACGCGCAAGCGCGAGCAGGGGCTCACGCATGAGTGGGGCATCGAGAGGCACGGGGGCTTTGGGTCCTGGGTAGAGCCACAGAAGCACCTGCTGGGCACGGGTCAGGGATGCTCTTTGCAACCCACAAGTGGACATACTTGAGGTGGAAGGTTATCCAGCAGCACTTCACGCGCTCCTGCTCGTGCTTGTGGCCGGCGGGGGGTGCGACGTTGGGGTCGTGCAGGATAAAGGCGGGGGAGCAAGACCAGGTCAGCTGGGCAGGGACGATCGCATTGAAGCAGATGGGGCAGTCGGGGTAGGGAGGGGTGCAGGGACAGTTGGGGGGTGGTGGGTCGAGGGGTCAGAGAGCGGAGAGGTTGAGAACGAGGTACTCGTATGCTTAGAGAGACTGGAAACAACGCACCTAATATCAAGGGGACGAGAGCGAGATCAAGGTCGAAATTGAGGTCAAGGGGGTACAGGGAACTAGGTGGCGGTGGTGCATGACATCGAGGGGGCAAAGGTGTTGGCAATTGAGGGAGCGGCTGTGAGATAGCTGGGAAGTGTACACTGCCAATGGCGGCTGCATGAGCTCGGGATGATGAACGCGCTTGTGGGCTTGAGGGCGGGATTGGCGTGGAAGGGTCTCAATGGTGTGGTGTGTGCGTGGCATCAAAGGTCAAGGATCAAGAGGGTTTTGAGTCTGGCTGTCGAGGAGAATGAGGACATGGCATCGAGTAGGGAGAGCGGAAGAGTGGGCGTGGCATCAAGCGGGTGTACCTTGTATCGACAGCGGGAACATGCAAGGTTGAGGGTCGATATTCAAAGGTTTGAGAGGGGTTGAGCCGGTGTGGTGTCGAGAGCGGAGAGCTGTTTGAGTGGGCAAGCAGGTGGGGCTTTGAGTAGGCAAGCAGGCGGGGCGTTGAACGGCTCAAGAGGATCGAGTGGAAAGAGTGGGGTTATTGATGAGCGGCTGTGGCGTCGAACAAGTCATGTGGGAAAACATGAGGGTGTTGAGGGAAGGGTAGATAGATAGGACAAGAGCGGGAGGGACACATGTACAGGGAGGGGCTGGCACGAAGAGAGACAGCGTACCTCATGGATAACCTCATCGTCCGTGCCTTCTCTCTTCCCAGCGTGTCTCTCCGCCACCGCCCTTCCTCTAAGTTGTCATTGTCATTGTCATTGTTGTTGTTGTTGTTGTTGTTGTCATTGTCGTTGACGCTCGGACGGTCGCGATGCTTGGCCCGTCATTAAGCAGCACGGGCGTGAGGGCGTTGGTTGAGCAGGACGCCTCAGTGACGGATATTATGGATGGCGTAGGGGAAAGAGATGGAAGTAAGCATGTGCGTAGGTGTGGACGAGGACAGAGGTCAGGGTCGGGAAGAGAAAGGTTAGTCCCTCGAGGATTTGTACATAGTAGAAGTAAAGAGAAAGAAAAGGAAAAAGTACACACCCTCAGCGATGCTTGCTTTGTCAGGGCCTCAGCGGAGGCCCATCGTCTGCTTGCATCAATGAAGGCCCGAAGGAAATGGGCGCCAAGAATGAAAAAAACAAAAGGTAACTCACAATAAAATGTTCAAAGTGCTCGTTTCCCTCATCCAGACCGGCGTAAGCAGGAAAAGGGCATGTTGACGATACCTGTCGGAAGGTCTAAGGCTCGCTGGCTAGCAGAGTTTGTCGATATTGGCACTCACAGGGTGTGGACAAGGGGTCGCAGAGACGGAAGGGGTACTTAGAGATGAGCATAGACCAAAGAGTGGGATCGAGAGCTGTTCATAACGATTGAGAGGTAAAGTGGTCACCGCACATCACCCTCAATATCCCCTGGGTTATATTTGGGGTATATAAGCAATATACCCAAAATATACCGCCAATATACCCAGAGCCACCCTCGGTATATTCACTGTTGATTCGAGGTTTTGGCTCAAATATACCAGGAGTATCCCTGGGAGCTGGATATATTCACAGTATATTTCGTGTATATTTGCATTTGATATCCATTAATTATCGCTTTTAAAAGCACTCCATAAATAGATTGTAAGTATATTTAAACAACAATAAAGCACAATTTAGCCATCAAAGGATACATGAACATCTAAAGACAAAAGGATCTACGAAACATACTCCAAAAGGTGAGAGGTATGAATCCTGGCCAGAAGTTGACAGCCTTGTGGCTGCAGATGCACGATTGAGGCAACAAAAAAAAGGCTGCACCACCCTTCCACTTCTCTGCATCATTGTCGGCCCATAGTGCAAAAAAATCTCTGGAAAAAGGACATCAATGAATACCTGCAGTAACCCAGCGAGGAACACCAGGTCGCGCACCAGGCAGCCCAATGAACCTACTGAGTCTGCCACATCAGCGATTCAACCCTCCACTCCAATGCCTACTGAAGATCGAGTACCACCATCGCCACGTCGTGATGACCCCAAGAAGTGTTGTATGGAGGTTGATCCACAAGTGCGAATGGCCACCATGCACACCCGTGGCGCTTCAGGGATAGGAAAACCAGTCCCACAATGCAAGGATATATTCAAGCAACCGCAGAAGAAAAAAGGTGAGTGTTCTATCCATAAAAACTGTTACGACTGCTCGTCGGTAACCCCAAGAGTAGGAGGTTCTTCCCTAGGTCACTCGTGGAGGATGTGTGGAACGGTGATCTCGACTGTACGTGTAGCACAGGAGCCAGAAGTGTATTGCGATATAGCAATGAAAGTAGACAGTATGAAGACTGCCTAAGAACGAAGGAGTACTGTAGGAAGACAGTACTGAACGAAGGTTCCTGTATGTGGAGATACAGGAGAACGAAGAGAATAGACTGAAGATCCTCAGCCTATTCTATGGGCCTTTTATACTACTTTGGGAAGTAGGGCGTGAGAATACCGAATATGTATCTGTAGGTATTCTCTAAGTCGTCTCTCTCAATAACGACTACTCTTGTGGTTCTCCATTGGTCTCCTTCCGGCCAGGAGAGACTAGGAGGTTCATGCCCTGCGTGTGAGTAATTTATAAGGCGGCGTTCCATGCCCGCTAATACAAGGCCCGTGATACTCGACCAATGATTGATGATCCATTGGGAGTAGATGGCCAAGGTTAATATCTGTACCTTGGTGTACGCCTCAACCTGTGAGGCCGCGTGATATTTGTGATGATTGTATCGGTATAGACCGCCGTGTAGGCCCGATAGAACGTGATCATAACAATACCCCCTTTCTACGTCCTATTCGCCTGGTAGGACCACGCCTTGCGTGTCATCGCCGCTCCATATACGATTTGCTTTCTTGATCCAACGATGGTCGCCGGATGCGACTTCCGGGACATGACTTCGTTTTCTGGGAGGAAGACCGACTTACGTCATTTGATCCTCTAGGAGTTTTCCATCTCCGTTGAGCTGTTTGTTTGTCGAGTCGCGAGGTTATCCAGGCCTCCGCTCTCTAGGATGTTGTTCCTTCACCCGTGGGATTGATTCTGCCGCGGGTAAACCTCATCGCGGTCTTACTTCCAGCCCGCTTCTGGAATAGTATCAAGAAAGACGTATGAATGCGAGTGGTGTGTGGATGTGTAGAAACTCTAGCATGTGGGTTCCGGTTCGTGTCATCAGGTTTTTCTTCTTCCTTCTCCGAGGGCCAAACCTCAGTGTTTCCAGGATAGTCGTCTATCCTCATGATTTGTTGTTCCTCTCGACGACAGTGGATGGCGCCCATGGACAAGTAGGTTGATCGCTTTACGAAGGCTTAGGCCTACTTCTCCAGGCTACCAGTCATGACGCCCCAAGCAGTATCGCTCCCATACGGTGAGCTCATCTCCGGTGAGGTTGCAGCCAAATCCCAAGCAGTATTGTCCCCATACGGTGGACTCATCTCCGGTGAGGCAGTTTACGGCGTCCAGAGTTTGTTTTTCACAAACGTGGGCCTATGGTGGGGAATACCACGTGTAGTGTTGGGTTCGAGGCAAGGATGTGAAGAGAATTAGACTTGAAAGGTGCAGCGAGGAACAAGGAGGAGTCTGACTCCTTTTCCAAGCCTGCCCGTTCGCTTGCACGAATTAGACATCAAGACCACAGCTGATATATTTGTCGGGTTGCGAGATATATCCACGACTGGCAGTTTAAACGTCATGCGGGACGGTCCGTAGTTTATCGTCGTTTCGGACGATTCGTAGTTTAACGTCTTTGCGGACGTCCTTCACCATCAACATGGAATACCTGTGGGGAAAGATGTTTCTGCACGCCGGAATTTCCATCGGTTGTGTGCATAGGGCCATAGACCAGACTTTACCCGCTCCAGATTCCACTGAGGCATGATGGACGGTTTATGCTATATCAAACCGGATAACTTGTAACGCCTCAAAGTTATGAGACCGCTCAGTTTAATGCCGTGAGGTAGGCGGACCTGCAGTTTAGCGCCGTGCATTAGGCGGGCTTGCAGTTTAACGCCGTGCGATAGGCGGACTATCGTCTGACTATGTCCCTCGAGTCACGATAGGCTTTTCCTCCGAGGATGAGGGTAGTTTAATGTCATTTCGGACATTGTCGACACATTCTCGTCAAGGATGATGTCGACCGATGATCCCTATGCTAAAAGGGACGAATAGTTTAACGTCATCTCGGACGGTTGGTGACCACGGTCTTGGTCAACAACCACAACTCCTATTCGGTAAGGAGCACGTAGTTTAATGTCATTGCGGACCGATTGACACCATGGCGGTCAATCCACAACTCCTATACGGTAAGGAGCAAATAGTTTTGTGTCATTGCGGACGATTCAGCACCAGAGTGATAAATCACAACTCCCATGCGATCGGGAGCAAGTAGTTTAGCGTCATTGCGGACGCATTGGTGTCCAGGGGATTGGACGTCAATGACAACCCCTAGGTCCAGGGGCACTAGTTTAACGTCGTCACGGACGCGCGGTATCTTGTCAAGATCGCCACGCACGATCCCTAGAACGAAGGGACGGTAGTTTTACATCGTCGCGGATGCCCGTAGTTTATCGTCATTGCGGACGTCGATGCCATTGGCCTCGAACAATCCCCATGTGGAAAGGGACAATAGTTTAACGTCATCGCGGACGTTGTTTCGCCACAAATATTGTGGAAAAACAATGCTTAGTTTAACGTCATCCCGGACGCGACCTAGTTTTACGTCGTCGCGGACGATAGGCGGAATAGACTTTGGGATGAGTGGCCCGCTCTTGTCGTTCTTCCGCTATGTGGGCCAGATGAGAGTCGCGTGATCTAGTCCCTTCCCACTAGATCTTCGACTCGAGGCACGTGTCCTAGTTGCCTCTTAACTAGGTCTTGGAGCGGAATTTCTTGTACTTCGACTCCAGGACTAGACTGAGCGCTCCATGAAGAGATGCTTGCTCTTCCATGTCCCCAGACCCCTCGCTTGGATTTGAACCAAGACGACCCGATATTCTTTTACCGAAAAGCGAGTGAATATCGGAAGCGCTTCGACCTTTTATAGGCAGGGTTCTGTGACGCGAGTCCTTCCGCGCTTCGCCAGAATGCAACCACGCTCCTTTGGTCAATGGTAGTTTAACGTCATCTCGGACGGTGGGTAGTTTTCCGTCATTTCGGACGAAGACTAGTTTAACGTCATTGCGGACCCTAGTAGTTTATAGTCATTGCGGACCAAGCCTTTGGTAGTTTTACATCGTTCCGGATGTGATTTTGTGGCCTTGCATCATTAGGAAGACTTGTGAGGTAGAGGCGGCCCGCTCTCTACATCATCTCATGCGCCAGCTGTAGGATCCCCTAATGCGGAAACGATCCTGTAAAACGGGAGATCCAAAGTGGGACATCCCAAAACACCAGTCAGACCTTGACTGTGAGGGTTCACGATACGAGTTATGCATCATAATTTCTTGACTCGGACTTGCAACCGGTTATGTATGGGCACTTCGCTGTACCAAGGCGAAGGGCCTGCTTGTCGACACCTACGAGTAGAGTATATGTCATGTAGAGGGTTCCCTAATGCGGAAAAAACCCTGTAAAACTGAGGATCCAAATGGGACGCTCGATGCATCTGTCAGATTACTCCTTGACAGCGAGGATGTGAAAGGATTCCGCCGTAGGTCGTACGTGGAATTATGCCCGCTGTTGTCCTTGATTCGTACCATCATTTGAACCTAGGACTAATGGTCAGGTACTTCCCCTGCCTTCTTATCTTTTCACAGTTTTAAGACATGCAGGTCCGATAGTTTAGACGTCATTCCGGACGCAGGGTAGTTTAACGTCTGTTTCGGACGAGGTCGTACAGTTTAACGTCTTGAGGGACGATCCTAGTTTTACGTCGTTGCGGACGAGTGTAGTTTTACATCGTTTCGGATGTAATTTTGTGTCAGGGGAAAGGAGTTCCTCAACTTCCTTACCCCCTTTCTTCTTCCTATGCCCTGTTATTAGTCCGTTTAATAATCGAAGGGTCCTTGATAATCCCCGCCCCCTTCGTCAGGTCGGTAGTAGGGGTCAGCGTCGTCGTAATTTCCTGGATCGTCTAGAGCATCCCATGCATCGAGCTCAGATCTAGTCCAAGAGCTATTTCTTCGAGCCTCCGAATCAGCGCGGCGAGTTCTGCGGCTACTTCGGTTATCCTCT